TCGGGCATTGCGATTAAGTCGGGAATGAAACGAACATCGTCACGATAATCAGGGTGATCGATTACCTATGATCCACATCTTTGTGAGATTCCCACACGTGTCTACAACGAGATAGGTGTGTCCTCGGAAATCCGGCTTTCTAGGCCAAACTAAGCAAAAGTAAGACGTCGCTTAGATCCAGACATTTAGAAGACATGTTGGGTCATATATCTATGGAAAAAAATGGGTATATCATTACGTAGGGTTCCAGCGATATGAAGAGGTTTTCGAAAGATCCGCTGAAAAACCTATCTTCAAAACTTTTTTAACTTCAACTTTTGCTTGTGAAAAGATTGGAAAAATAGTCCTCTTTTCATTAGTGAAAACTGCAACTCTCTATCTATCATCGTCTTCGAGTTATCAAAGAAACGGTAACTTGCATTATATTTTGGTACGGATACTAGTAAAGCTGCCTATCCAGACAACAGGAACGAAGAAGCGAACCGAATCAACTCCAGTTCTGTGTCTTCCTGAAATACGATGAGCTGAGTGTGCACCTGTATGTTGATTACAGATGATTGGCGTACGAGACTTCAGATCGACTGGACCGTCGAGGTAAGGTTGTTCACACGGTTTAAATTCATTTAGACTTTTCCATAGTTACCTCAATTTTGTTTCATATTGATCTTGATTTAGTGGCAATTGGTAGTGGTTCTGTTCGAGTAATATTATTGCTACACTACGTGAGAGCATTTGAACAGCGAACTTTCTACAGTACCTAAACTATTTTGGTGAATGTACGTCATTCTTTGAATATATATATGGGGCTCGAAAACATCGAGAGTGGGTAGTGAAAAAGGTCCAACAAATATATTTTGATAAAAAATTGTGACCGAAGTTGCAGAACAATTTCACGATGTCTTTTCTTCTAAAATTTTTGTGACCTTGAAGCATTTCTGATCAAATTCTTTTATACATTTTTGTACTAGACACGGTGCTCTTTCTAAGCTTCGAACTTACGGCCTTTCGTAAATTGAACGGTGTGTAATGAAAACGTGTCACAGAGAGCCGGAAGATGCCGCATTTTGTTCAGAAATTGTTCAGATTGGAAGTTATTTCAGCTGTACAAATCTTTTATCACATTTGCTCTAGCTACTATAGTCGACGAGAAAAATGAAAAAGTTAGATGGACGAATAACTTTTTGGATCCGCTGTATGTTTAGCTTTTCTCATTCCTGTGAAATCCTTGTGATCAAACATAATACATCATGAATGAACAGGGCTGGTGCGAGGCTTCTAAAATTGGGGGAGGAGCCATAAATTGATGTCACTCGTTGACAGGAACGAAAAAACAATAGCGTAGTAAATTGTGAAAAAAGGAAAGATTGCGATTCTTTGGAGGGGTTACCCCCGACTCCCGCCCTCTTCTCGAACCAGCCCTGTGAGTGAATACATCAATTTGTAGAGACTTGAAAGAGCTTTAAAATAGGCTACTTTAGAAAAATGGGTTATTTTTGTTTTTACGAAAAATGTTAGCTAAAATGATGTACAGGTCGTATTTTTCTCTAGTTATACATGTTATGTCGAACTTAACGATCTTTTGCAAATCGGCAAAGATATTCTGAATATATCAGTTTGTAGAGAATTGAAAGAGCTTTCTAATTGTGTGCTGATTTCTTTATATGCTCCTATAGTGCCAGAGAAAAGCGCATGAGAAGGAGTTTAATGATGCTCCTTAATGCCAGCTTCCAAGTAAAGATCCTATCCGAATGGAATGGCTTGAACCATTCGAAAGTACCTAAAATCAAATGTTCGTGGTTTTCTGCCAGTCACAGACCCATTCTGAGCAAAAAAAAGTGGGCTGATTCTTTAGCTTGTACATCCTTTCTCAATAAAATAAACTGAAGATCGATTTTTTCTGTAACTACTTCTTGGCAAAATGCATCTTGAAAAACACTTCTGTAAATAATCTTTCACACGCCTTTCTCCTCAAAATATTGCAGTCTTTTATTCTTCTCGGCTAAATAGTGGATACATCGTATAATCTTCCTTGGATAGATAACTTCGCTAGAGTTTGTCATTCAAAAGACAATATAAAACACGGCTGTGTCTTCAAAAACTTTTGTATTGTGAACAAAAATAAAGCGCTTTTTTTTTTGAAGAGTTACGGACATACCAGTGGGTTAAATGAATGCGCCTAGTTCCTATAAGAATTTTGCGCTTTTATTATCAGCTCACTGTAACACAGCTTCTCGGCAAATCATTAAATCTTTTTATATTTCTCAACAGAGGAGAGTGAGCTGAATTTTACGATGAGAAACCCAATTAATCATCTCTAAAACTGAGTGAGTAACCACTGGCATACTTGATGGAAAAAAATTTAGTTTATGTCTCTGAAAAACTGAAGTATCTAGTTATTGCGTGATGTTTTACCCGGCTTTTTCTTCGGGAACATGATGCAAAAAGATGGAATCTGTAATTCATAACGAGTATGCACAATCAGCGATGACGATAAGATTAAACATCAAGTCGACTTCAGAATTTCACACAGATGGTAAACTCTCTCACCAGGTCGCCAACCATAAAAAATACGTTCCGAAAATGACTTTATCGGAATTGGTGGAGATAAAAAATTGAACGGATTAAAGCGTAGCGGCTCTGAGCAGTATTAAAAAATGATTTATATTGTTTTTAAATACTTCTTTCGCCTTAAAATCAAGCAGGTAGTAAGTGCATAGTGCATAACACATGTATGTGCTTCGACACATTTGTACAAAGTAGAGCGTGTTTCTATAGCTACTTGTATAGCTTCTATAGCATAATGGGTATATTTTTTGCGTTCCCTCTCTTCTTTTTCTTTTTCTACATCCATAAGTGCTTCATATAACATAGACCACCCATTAGAACGAATAAAAATACCGAAGTGATCTCTACATGAGCGCAACCATTACACTGCAACTGCATAAATGTTTATCTCTTTATGCACCTAGAATGTGGGCACTTTTGAGAGCTCATACTTAGTTTTTTGAGATATTAACACTATTTTCTATTCGTTAAGAGTCGCTACGTGATCTAATTCGATACATTCCGATAAACTAGTGCCATTCAAGTGCTTGGCGATCTGATGACTCGGTTTTCATGTAACTATTCTAGAAAGTCTACTTGTAACTTTACAACTTTTAAAATCTACTGTATGTCAATAATAATGATCACACTTGTTACACCAATGACGGTACGAGGCGTCATAATCAAAATACATCACTTTTATTTTGTGGCAGTCCCTCGTTCTAAACAGAGAAACAGAAAAAACATGTTTTTCTCCTTTTCTACACAGAAAGAACGACTGAGTCACTGTATTGTCGGTTATGTAACTCGGTCTTTTTTTCTGCAGAGAAAAAAAATGCTTTTTTTTGCTTTTTTCTACACAGAAAGGATGACTGCGTTGCATAAACTTAGTTTCATAACGGCTTATATATTCAACGGATATAAATGTCAAGATATATTAGCATCTAGCAAAATTGGAGATATCTCTTCTCGCACATGCACGACGTACACCTTCAAGATATCTATTACCGATAGATATTCTCTTTTTCTCGTTTGCCGTGTGAAGAAAGAGGAAAAGTCAGTCCAGCGTTATTTTCATTCACCATTTTATTCTTTCAACACTTTTTTAAACTTCTTTTTTCTGTCTCGTATTCTTTTACGTCACATATATCACAATGTTTGCACGCGCATGTCTTGTGCTAGAAGAGATATCTCCAATTTTGCTTGATGCCTAATCATTTCTTTTTTATTCTGCTTTCAGTATTCTCCGTCATTTCGGTATTAGTGTTTAAGAAGTCATCGTCAGCACCGAATCGGGTAAGAAAGATCACAGAAAAAGAAAAAAACAGCCCCTTGTTTCCTTTCTTCATCTACAGTACACACACATGTTGTGCGGAGAGAAAGTGAAAAAAGTCTACGGCAACAATGACGATGCAAAATATACACATCTATATATCCCCCCGAAAAATATAGTTTCACTTAATAACAAACATCTTGAATATGGTCAATATCACCAGGTATTATAGATTGTGGAATTTGATTTCAAGCATCAGTAACTAATTGTTCAAGAAGTTGTTGAGAATTAGGATGACGTCGTTGCACTAACAACGGAATAATTTCTTTTTTTGAGGGTAATAATTAAAAAACAGCGAAAAAAATGTAGATTTTTAGTGCTTGTCGATTGAGGAAGTTTTCATTGTACTCAAATTATTTTTCAATAAATGAATGCAAGAAAGTAAGTAAAATAGACAGGATGATAGAGAATTTCAAGCTCTATCAGAATCTATAATTGTCTTTTCGAAAGATCATTCTATAGTAACGAAGAATTTTAAAAACTATTTTTGACGACAAAGAAAAAATCAAGTCTGTGGGAATCTGGACATGAGGGTGTCTTCATTGTGTTCAAATTATTTTTCAATAAACTAATGCAAGAAAATAAGTCAATATACAGGGTGATAGAGAACTCTACAGGCTTTCAGAATATGTAGTTTGTTTTAAATAAATGTGTTTTTATAGTGACAATAAATGAGAAATATAGAGTGAAACTATTTTTTTTCGAGGGGATACATAAGTTATATACACCGCGAAACTTACAGTTGATCAACTCTACTTTCTAGATTCATTCGTCTACAATGAGTCGCGCTGTACTTGATAAGCTACTAGCACATACACATGCCAACCATCATGTGCTAGATCACCACGGTTTTCACACTCACACCGCTCATCATTTGGGATCTCTCTATTTTTTGGGTGCCACCGATGACAGACTTGAAGAGTTGTACGAAAACATGCACGATGAGATTAACTTTTACAAACCGTCACCGCACGAAATCACCCGTGCCAATTGGCGACAGCTACTCGGTGATAAGCACTTTTGCAAGGCATATCAAGAGTTCTTCGATCAGGAATTGACGGCAAGTGGGGATTGTTGGCGGCAGAAATTCCTTGAATTGCTACTAGACAACAAACCAGAACCGATGATCAACGGTGTCGTTGGTGGGCTGGCTCATCCCCTTATTCATATCGGTTACGCGTTCGAATTGGATAGTCGAATAGTAGCTGGTGAAGCACTGACACTGAGTGCCGTGTCTTATAACTACTTTCACGAAGTAATCGACAAGCTGAAACCGCCGAAATCTGGCTCGAAATCGGCTCTGACAATCTTCCAAGATCTTCGTTCAGATGATCGACTGCCACTACTCGATGCGCCAGGTGTCAGCAATCTGGAGCCTAGCGTAAAAAAATCAACCGATCTGGTTTTGTCTCATTACGACCAATGGCTCATGAATATGAATAATCTTGAAGCGACAATTGAAGAACTATTCGACTTGACCGTTTATCTCTATGGCGCTACACACAAACCCGATCAGATCGACTTCGATTTCTTTCTTCTCCATCTGCTCACAGCCATGCATGCGATTCGTATGATTTATCCACATTTGAATGATCGACACCTCGCTGAACATATTCTTTTGCAATTCTTCTACTTCGCCAGCATCCTCTACATTGCTCAACTTCGACCTCAGATCAATAAAACACTGATCCACGATTACAAACTTGATGATAGCAAACACAATTGGGACTATGTGATCGAACGAACAGTGAATACCAACTTGGCCGCACATTGCCATTTGGTGAAAGTTGTGCGCGCTCTGAGAGATGCAGAAGCTGTTTATGGCGTCAAAGATGGACTTTACTTGAAAACGGCGGTCAAAACTATCGACAACGTTAATACAGACAACATGTGGGTAGGAGGACCCACGAATCCTCGCCAGTTGAATGTACTCAAACGCGAATAGTGTATTTTTATCCTGTAGATTGATATTCTTTTCAAAGACAACATTGTTAAGCTCGTCGTTTCTTATTTTTCGATCGATATAACTAAACTTGACGTGTTTAGGGTTTTATTCCTCCAGAATGTAGAGTGTTTAGGCTGTGGTATATCCTGTTTATAGGAGATCCAGAAACAAATTTTACAAAATCCTTAGATTCTCTGAAAGGGTTTCTAGAGAATCCTATTAAGAAAAATATGCTTTTTTGATTTTTTCGATCTTATAATCACATTTATGGGACAGCATTAATCTGAGATTTTAAACTCGTTCTGATGTTTTTAGGGTGAATTTTTAACATTAGGTGAAAACAGTGTGAAAACCCCAATTTTCGTAAAACTGGATTTTTGGTCGGTTTTTAAAATGTTTCTAAAAGCAAATATTACCAAGAGCCTCAGCATGGTCGACTCCCCTTAGTTCATTCGTCTTCAAGACCGCCAATAGTTACCGGGAGGAACTCGTAGGAAATCCAATACAGTGCCCGAACTGTCGGAAATCAAGACGTCGTCGGTCTGCCATTTTGAAGAGGACAGGTCGCGCTATAAACCTACGAAAAAAATGAATACAATCTTATTGGAGGATTTCTATACACGGTCTGGTTTTCCAAAGAACTCCTCGAAAATCTGTTTTAGAAAAACCCTTCTGAAAACTTTTGATTATCAAAACACGTATCCAAGTCTCTTCTTTCGAATGGTGAAAACCAGAGCTCTCTAGCTCTTTTCTATCAAAAGTTATGCGAAAAATAGTGATATACTATTCTTTTTTTGGATGGACAATAGTTGCTGAACGTATTAAAGAGCTGAAGCGACAAAGAATTAATTATCGAGCGTACAGCTCGTACAAGCCAAAACTAAAATAACAGACCCTGGCATCACCTGTATCAGCTGAAATGGCTACATGAGAAATTTGTAATAGTACCCATAGACGAGACATGCAACAATCGGATAGTTCGGGGACCGAACGGTTCGCAGGCGAATATGTTCGGTCATCGAACGTGTTCCGCCTGGAAATTTTATGCGCCCAAACGTGTTCGGACGAAGATTACAAGTACGATAGTTTATATTTTTCTCATCTGACATTTCGGCGAGCGCTCTGTTGAAGAACTATTAGGACAAAATACCATAAACCTTATAAAGATACATTCGAATTAGGGCTGCACCTTTCTGTCTACTTTATTTGCAAAGTGAGGACAAGCATTTTCGCATGAAAACAAAGTAAATCAAATTATTACTATTAAATAGATTACAAATTATTATTAAATTACCAATAGCAACGTTGCATTATGGAGCACAAAACCAAGCCGAATATATAAGCGGAATGGCTATTGCCACTCTCTGAGAGTGTCAACAAGAGTCGTCGTATTTTTACTTTTGGGTGTAAGTTCCGGCACGCTTTATGAATTTCTTAACATTGAAGTTCTAAGATTGTTTTTCCTAACGCACAACTGGCTATTGAGGTTGTGGAGGTCAGCATAAATCAGTGCTTGCATTGCTATTGGTTTCCATTGTTTATCAACATCGGCAGGAGTAAGAAAACACTAACAATAAATAAAGTAGGACAATTAAGTTTTGACACATAATAAAGAATTTTGTCGTAGGAAATGGTGCTTTATTCTGACTTCATTCTAAGTCACCGTTCACAAAAGGGTAAAAGTGAACTAAATCTGTAACGCGCGTGGAGTGCGTCCGCAGAGAGGTAAGGTTTTAACTACCTGCCATCCATAAATGTTTCATATATTCATTGTCTAAAGTTCTAGTTGCAGGACGCTATTCTTAATCATCTAAACTTGTTTAACTATGAGCTGCAGGAGAATTATTTGTTTCGCACACAAAGAACAACTTATCACAGTTTGTTTATTTTCTTTCGTCGCTAAAACTTTTTGTGTTTAGAGTGTTCTTAACTGAAAAACCCAAATGTTTGAGATTCTCTTTAATGAAGATAGCAGTTTGTTTTTTCGATAAGATGCTTTCATTTTAAATTGATTGACAAAAACTACGCAAGGTCTCTTTTTACTTTTGATTTCATTCTAGTAAAAACAATTGCAGCTGGTTTTCTTAAAGCAAATTAAACTTTATTTTCACATTAGAATGATAGTCTTGATCTTTTTGTTCTTCTTTTTATTTGTTTTTGATCAATAGTTGTGACTATTCTAGTCAAAAAATAAAAACTTGTGTATGTTCTATACTTCTTGCAGAAATCATAATTGTGTAGAACATCTTTAAGCTACACATGAAAAACGAAGTCATACATAGATGAATATAACTTACTTTTGCAAAAACTTATTATCACCAATTTTCTATACCTTCTAAAGACCGCTTGTGTAAATTTCTACACATACCAACATATTGCACTTTTTCAGCGATAGTCTCACAATCAGTTGTGCCTTAGGGAAAACATAGAACTTCAATGCAAAGAAATTCATAAAGCATACCGGAACTTACACTCATAAGTTAAAATACGACAATTCCTTTTAACACTCTCAGAGAGTGGCAACTCATATATAAGTTAATCTTGAAACGGTAGTTGGATGTAATATACATAATAAAATCACAATAATGATATCAAGAAAGGCTAATTTGAGCGGCCTTTTCTATCTGTAATTCCATTGTATTAATTCGGTATTTGGTGTGTTAACTAATCGAAAGAGAGAAATTATTACAACGATTGTAACAGGTGCTAGAAACAGCGCAGTGTACAGTAAGTAAAAACCAGATATGAAGCCATCGCACCGCTTTCGTTACTTTATCGGTCATAAAATGTTGCTAAAAGCGGGTAATGAGAAAATTTAACGTATAAGGAAAAATCAGCAAAAAATCTCTAAAGTTGACTCTTGATATAAGTAAAAATTTTATCAAGAGAAGAGCCTAAACGTCAGGAATCTCTGAGTTAAAACAGAAGATTTGTGCATCTAATCACTTCATAGAGAACTTGTTGTAGAAAAATCATTTGAAGATATTGAAGTGTCTGAAGAGTATGGCACGAGAAGAGAATTTCTTAAAACAGCTTGGAAGGAAACTTTCTTATGGTTGTGCTTATCTGATATAGTACTCAAAGTTGCCTACGAATCTACATTGTTTCAGCTGGGAACTTCAGAAACGGCTGAAACATAAATTTTGTAACTGGACTCTCTCCACGAAATGAGCTAGAAATCAAGCTTCTTTTGTATTAATGTGTTTTAAAATGTTCACTTATGCACAAAAAATATTGAAGAAAATGTGTCATGAGTTGAAGTAGCACAGGATACGAGAAAATTCCGTTATTAAAATTTTTAAAATTAAAACTTATCCTGCGACTCTACTGTTATGCAGCAAGCTAAAGTTTCGTCAAAATGGAGTTTTTGTAAGTTAGAACAAACATTTCTGCACAATATTCACTCTTATGGGTAGGGAGATTAAGATCCAATTTTTGATACGACGAGATCCAGTTGAAAACTATTCTTTACTGCTTGATGTGCCGATCACCAGTATGTTATCGATAGTGACTGGAAGGGCACGATTGGAGATGGGCACCGGGACCAAATTTTTCTGGTCCCGGTGGTCATCTCTAGGCACGACAGCTGTGAGTTTAGCTTCCAAAGTCAGTTAGGCATCAGAGCAAGTAATAAATGCTCTCTTTAACGCACTATAAATTAGTCTTCTGAAAATATTATCCCAGTACTGCAAAAGAACTATATTCCTTATATCCTAACTTTTTATCTTGCCATCCGGAAACATTTAGAAAAAAAGTTCATAAACCCAAAAGGAAGAGGCTTGAAAAAATGGAATTGGCAAGATATTTGTGCTAAGAACAATGGTAACGACATCTTCCTATGAGATGTTTTACTTCATAACTTGATTTACCATAATTATGACAAAAAAACGCTGTAGTCAAGCTTCAACGACGAAAATAATATCAGATAAGAGTAAATGTCAACAAATAGGACATGTTATTTCCAGCTGCTGACTCTGTAATATTTTCTCAGATAAATGGTAGACAGAATAGAAAAAAAAGAACAGTACAAATTATCTGTTTTAATTTTTATCGTTTTAGTATTTTAAGGATTTTGAAAAAAAATGAAGGTTCTATCTTTCATACTACTATGCCTTTTGGCTTGTGCAGTGGTTCCGTCAGACAGTCAATCTTCCAATGAAAACTGTTTCCCTTATGGAGCCAAATTCTCACTCTCCGGTTCTACCATTTCTATCCCAACTGTTTCTCGACAGCAATGGTGGTGTTCGGCTGATAAGTTTTATGGATTCCTCGGGTAATATCCATTTCTCTTTTTCGTACAGACTCTTAATAATCTTTTTCTATTTCAAGATACGTTATCGACTTGAAAGGTTGGTGCGGAGATGCCAGATATACGCTTCCCCGACTTCGGAAAGATTTTGCCAAAATGGCACAAGATGGAGCAAAGATGGTGCGAATATATGGGCCAACTTGCGATCAAACCTATGTCTGGGACAATATTATTCAAGCAGCAGCTGAAAACAGCATGTACTTTTGGTCCTTTTACACTGCTGCCGTTCTCTGGCACTTTTGAAATTGTGTTTTTCTCATTATTAGAGGTGTCTTGGGTATTGTGTGGCATGGTTATGGCGATGAGGAAAAAGGCTGGCAAGAACGGAAGAAGTCTCTGATGACGGTTCTTGCCAAACCTTTGAGCAAATACGTTATCCATTCCGTCTCTTTTGGTTCTGAACCTCTGTACTCTTGGTCAGTAGGAGGTGGATATAGTTACCTGAATGAGTTGATGGCTATTAAAGCGGAACTTAAACCACTTGGAATCCCATTAACTGTATCCGAGGTATTAGAAAAATGAGGAAGTGACTAGAATTCAAGAGTCAGTTTTTTCTGTTTGTAGATGAAGTACGGGTATGATGTTCAAAGTAGCATAAAACAGCAAGTTATTAATGCTATAGACTTTGTGTCTGCCCACGGTAAGATTAATGAATTCCAACCGCCTCTGTTGTCTCTGATTTTCTGCTTTTCTAATCAGTAATGCCATATTATGGTACATGTAAAATGCCTGGTGACGTCTGGTGGGATATAACCAATGATATCGATCAATTCCAAAAAATGATACCAG